GGGTGAGAGAATCCTAACATTTATTTCCGTATTGGCATAATAGCCTTTAATGTTGGACAAAGGTCGCTCCGCTTAATTAGGAAACTGCTTGAACTAAAAAAATTCTCGAGTTCTGCTAGGGCATCCTGGTAACGTCATAGTTTATTGGTGGCTTGTATGTGAAGGTGAGTGTTTATTATCTTTTTTTATTTTTGCAGAATATTTAAAGGAAAACGGTTTATAACGCAGCCAGCTAGGGAAGTGAAACTTTTATGGAAAAGAATAACGCAGAGAAGAACTCCCAAGAGTTTTGACAACATTGTTAGATCGGATATTCCTAGTACTGTATTAAAAATCACAAAAGAAATGAGATTGTCTTTTTTAAGCTTGTTATTAGGTAGTTTAAGAAGACCAAATAGCACACTTTCGATAACCCACTTTTTCAGTCAAATCCTGACCAAAATCCCGTGTCGTGGGAGTTAAGATACCCCTTCAGCCTATAGTTAAGCGACTATAGTTAAGCCTATAGTTAAGCAACGTTATTCGTGTCATTTATTTTTTTTTGAATCCATTAAGGTTATTTCAAGCGGCCATGTACTCTTTTTATATTAACTTATTTCTGTTCATTTAATTCTATTTGTGAGCTGAGTATAAATAAACTTGTTGTAGAATCCTTTCAAGTTTTGTTTAATACTACCGCACAAGCTTGAAGCTGGAAAACTAAATTGGGGTTCCTTTTCAGCCAGCACTGATGCCATATCATCAAAAGCGCGTTTCCGCGCGCATTTTATTATTTTTTTTTTGCTTTATATCTCAACACTATCATTGTGTCTGGCACTGTGGCGCGTTTTCCGGGATAAAATGGAGAATTTGACGGGCTATTTTAGCCCGCCGATATAAACTGTCAGTTTAGCAATTGTACAGTTAATTGCATAACCTTTATCGAATCTAACTTTCGTGTCTTCTACGAATTTAACTTTTATCGAACCTCGAATTTGACTTTCGTGTCTTTCAATAACAGCCATTCAACTTGTAAACGCTCGCATGATTGTTCAGACTGTTTTTGTCCCAGTCTTTATTTTCTCAATGCCCTCTCAAGTGTTAATCACAGTAAAAGAGGTTATGTTCCTGGGCAGAAATATGTCTGCTTGTGCGTCCCTAGCTCGCTTTAAAACAACCGTTTTTTATTAGTGTTTTGTCACCTCTATTGTAACTTCATAGTTAATAGTTACTGCAGCTTTCAGTAACATGCGGACACTTAAATTCAAAGCGCAATCGACAAATGCGTTTTTCGCTACCGTCAATGAAATGTTCGACGGCGCCTCCCAGTTTCCGATTACTGCCGAGCTCGCGGTAATCAAATCGCTGAGCACAGTTCAGACAACGAAACAGTGTTCGGCAGTGGTCGGAAGCTGGGAGGCGCCGCCGAACATTTGATTGGCGGTAGCGAAAAACGCATTTTTCGGTTGAGCTTTGAATGTAAGAGTCCGCATGTAAATAGCACACTTTCGATAACCCACTTTTTCAGTCAAATCCTGACCAAAATCCCGTGTCGTGGGAGTTAAGATACCCCTTCAGCCTATAGTTAAGCGACTATAGTTAAGCCTATAGTTAAGCAACGTTATTCGTGTCATTTATTTTTTTTTGAATCCATTAAGGTTATTTCAAGCGGCCATGTACTCTTTTTATATTAACTTATTTCTGTTCATTTAATTCTATTTGTGAGCTGAGTATAAATAAACTTGTTGTAGAATCCTTTCAAGTTTTGTTTAATACTACCGCACAAGCTTGAAGCTGGAAAACTAAATTGGGGTTCCTTTTCAGCCAGCACTGATGCCATATCATCAAAAGAGCGTTTCCGCGCGCATTTTATTATTTTTTTTTTGCTTTATATCTCAACACTATCATTGTGTCTGGCACTGTGGCGCGTTTTCCGGGATAAAATGGAGAATTTGACGGGCTATTTTAGCCCGCCGATATAAACTGTCAGTTTAGCAATTGTACAGTTAATTGCATAACCTTTATCGAATCTAACTTTCGTGTCTTCTACGAATTTAACTTTTATCGAACCTCGAATTTGACTTTCGTGTCTTTCAATAACAGCCATTCAACTTGTAAACGCTCGCATGATTGTTCAGACTGTTTTTGTCCCAGTCTTTATTTTCTCAATGCCCTCTCAAGTGTTAATCACAGTAAAAGAGGTTATGTTCCTGGGCAGAAATATGTCTGCTTGTGCGTCCCTAGCTCGCTTTAAAACAACCGTTTTTTATTAGTGTTTTGTCACCTCTATTGTAACTTCATAGTTAATAGTTACTGCAGCTTTCAGTAACATGCGGACACTTAAATTCAAAGCGCAATCGACAAATGCGTTTTTCGCTACCGTCAATGAAATGTTCGACGGCGCCTCCCAGTTTCCGATTACTGCCGAGCTCGCGGTAATCAAATCGCTGAGCACAGTTCAGACAACGAAACAGTGTTCGGCAGTGGTCGGAAGCTGGGAGGCGCCGCCGAACATTTGATTGGCGGTAGCGAAAAACGCATTTTTCGGTTGAGCTTTGAATGTAAGAGTCCGCATGTAGTTGAAAGGTGCGGTAATAAGTTAGTGTTCCTGTATATTTAACCGCAATTTTGCATTAACCGCCGCTTCTGAAGATGTATGCAGAAGCATACGAAACGTCAAGTAAAAGATAACAAGTGATGTGTTTATATCTGATGTTTGTCACCGCTGTTTGTCTCATTTCTATATTTGGGAAACAATGCGTACACGCATGAGTGCAAACTTTATTTCAATTCCAATTTAAATAGTTGATAAACTAGTACATCCGAGAAAATCATGCAAAAATAACCTTCGTACAAGATCGAGCAGAGTAACTTACATCAAGCTGTGAAGTTATGAAGTTATGCAATAATGAATAAAAAGATCACAGGAAGTGAGGCTCTTTGCACGATCCGGTCACATGGTACGGAGTTAATTACGCAAGTTACACAGTGGGATTTCCAAAACAAAGGAACTCGCACCAGTCTAGGACGACTTTCCTTTGTTTTGAAAATCCCACTGTGTAACTTGCGTCCCAGCGGAATTAATTCTGTACCATGTGACCGGATCGTACAAAGAGCCTATTTTATACCTGTGAAAATTCTCGTAGTTCGTAAAGCATCGTTCTTGCACCATTCAATCATTTTTTCCACATCATCATTGACGACGCCAACAGACCACACGCTCGGGTATTTTCTTCGTCGTAACCACCTTTTTCGCAATGGAAGAACAAATGCCTTGCTCCTCTAGTGCTCCAGATAACTCGGCGGTACATGTAATTGAAATCGAGGATGATTGCCCGCTATCACCCGTCCCGCTCGAGCAGGAAAAGTTGGTAGAACCACTCTTCGAAAATGAAGACGGCGTCGCTGAGGGTAAAATTCACGCGTTACCTACCCTGAATTCAGCGCAGAGAGAGGCCGACAATGAAGACGACGTCGTTGCGGGTGAATTTCATGCGGAATCTACCCTGCATTCAGCGCAGAGAGGGAACAAGCGCAAAACCCCGTATTCGGTTAAATTCGGTGAGCTACCCGAGGCAGTCAGAAAGTTTTTGGCTTCCGTAAAGAGATTCTTTACCCAGAAAGTCAACTTTGAAAGAGAGAAAGCACCGGTGACCCTTTCTACTTACGAGAAGGCTCAAGAGAGAATGCTTTGTAAGTATCTTTGTTTCTTTTTTTAATTTTGGCCTTAATTTCCACGTTTGCGCCTAAGTGATGATAACCGATATTTGGGTGACGCGATTTAACATATAACCTCTCCTTTTTTATCTTCTTCGCAGGCTTTCTGGGTTACGTTAGAACTACTTTAGGCCGTGATGAAGAGCTTTTACCACATTGCTTTTTGAGAGTTCCCTTGATCGAAGGCTACGTTGAATTTTTGAAGGTGAGAGAAATTCTTTACAGGCTTTCGTATTAAGTTTTGACACCTTAGTAGAAACGCCCAAGGGAACTCACGGCCGGGGACTGAAAACCACATCAGTTAGTTTCGTAAAAAAATGTGAGCCCGTAATACCTGTGTGTAAAGAAACTGCTGAAAATGACGAATATTGGAGGATTTTCGCTATGCACGTTAACATCACAGATAAATTACGCTATGATTGGGACCTATATCTTTTGCATCTGAGGTATTGTTTTAAAGTAACTTCTCGCCATAAATTAGTGGACTTTTAACCTTACGACGTGTACTAAGTTGTGTTGATTACTCACAATGTGTTATCAGCAATGCGATATCTTTTTACCGATCTGCCGTTGAAACTTGTTTTATGCTAACAATAACCTTAAATCTGTTTTGGACGTTGTCTTTATCGAATTAAAGAGAAATTATAAATAGCTAGCTGCTAATAAGTTGACTCTATACGTTAAGAAGTCAATAATAGTTGTTATTATTAGTAGTAGTATTATTCCATACTTTTTCTGAAAGAAAGAAATTCCCAACAAATTGGAAAATTTTAATATCACTGATTTACTGCTTGGTAGGTGAAATTTTTCCTTTCGAGCTTGAAAACTTTAACCCAGAGACTCTTGCCTCTGATGAATTTCTGCTACATGTTGATTCTTTTCTTTTCCTTTTCTTTCGTTTACATCTATTTATTTACTTATTGATTTTTGGCTGTTCCGAGCCTCAATTAACCTGTTCTGTTTCCTCACAGGAAGAACGAAATTGCAGCTCTGCGACGGTTTCAAATCACATCAGCTCACTTCTCTACCCAATCAAATTTGTGCACAGAGAGCATGCTCCTGATTTCAAAGGGGTCCCCATTATCCGTCAGCTGAGAGTTCAAGCTCGAATTCTCCAGAAAGAAGGTGACTTGGAAAGGCCGTCCACAATGGAAGATCTTTCTGCCCAAAATCGCTGGATCCCTTGGTAAGTCTTGGCATGGAAACTGTTTTTTGTTCACTCTGTGACAGGAGAGACTGCGATTAGTACCAACAATATTATACCTGGAAAAATGACTTGGTTCTGATTGGCTAAAAAAGAGTGAAGCTCTCGCATAACTAGATGTAGACTACAGATTGTTAAGAATCAATTGTGTTAGTTAGCAATCACATGATTACGGATACTAGTTTGAGGCTAGCTTAGAGCTTCAGGAGGAATTGGCACTTGAAAGTAAACTGACTAACCATTGTTTGTTTGCGGTTAGCAAGATAGATCTCTCTTGGCTGCAGTACTTTTATCCTGAATTGTTCCCTTTCCCTTTGTCCTGGACAGCCAAACCTGTGTGAACCTCTTTCCTTTTTTTGTTTTTGGTTTTGTCTTTAAAAAAAGGGAGGAAGTGGTTTCTGCTGTTAGCACCCAGCGAGAAAAGTTTGAATTGACTGGTCCAATGAAGTTCAAAGCCAAGGAATTTTGCGATCTCATTATGCTATCCCTGTATGTGTTCATTCCCCCGTCACGGGGGCTGGAAATCAGGACCCTGGAAGTGCTGTCAGGGGAAGAGGCCAGGAACTTCGACCCAAAGACCTCAGCTGGGAAGAATTACCTGCTTGTCAAGGATAGTGGGGCTATTATCCTCCACTTTAACAATTACAAGACCAGAAAGTTTTCTGGACGAGATGAGCTGTCTCTACAGGTTAGACAATTTCCTCTCTGGTTCCAGTAAATTAAGTAAATAAATAAATAAGTTTGTTTACCGAGGGTGACACATTACAGTTGACGACTGGTAAACTTCTGGCCCTCCCCTTAAATAGATAGAGCTAATTTACAAAATAATATTGAAAAGGGCAAAGACAGTAAATGTAATATTAAAAGGATAAAACATTTATGAAATGGGAAAGCTATCCAAGCCAGCATAACCATCCTTACAAGAATTCTGTTTGCAGGCATTAATACTGGTGCCAGATCTTATAGTAATAGGTAGAGAGTTCCAAAGTTTTGCAGCTGTAACAAGAAGAGTTTTTCCACCTTCTGTGTCACGTTTATTTCTAGAACAGCGTATAGTTATATCACCATAGTGTGAGATTCTGGTTGACATGTTGCTGATACGCACTAATTTATCTCCAAAGTACTCTGGGCATTGCCCATTTAAGCATTTGTGGCATAAGCATAATTTATTTACAATACATTGATCTCATCATAAAAGGGTAGCCAGTTTTGTGATTCTGCACAACTAATGGTGATCTGAGATGATTTACCTAAAATTTCTACTGATTGACATGGATGTAAAACTCCATCCATAAACATTTGTTTATATCTGTTGATGTTGATTCCATTTTCAAGCTGGTTAGTTTGGCCATTTATTCCAATCTTTAATTGTTAGAAATTTGTACAAAGGCTGTTCTGCACCCAAAAGTATTGACTTATCATTTAGTTTGATGATTGACCAGACATTGAGGTCAATGCCACTGATCTTTTTCAGCCCGAAGACGAGCTCTGTCGACTTTTGTTGTCGTACATAAAGGATTATCGGCCGCATTTGGTTACAGAGTCAAGCCAAAGCTACCTACTGCTGGTAAGGTTTAACCTGTTTTGACCAAGTTACCAAATGATATCCTCACATCTTGTGTAAGTTAGATTTCAACCTCTGGACTTTTGGGGTGAGGAAATTGATCCCAGCCAAGGATCCTCCCTAACCCTAACCCTAACGTTGAGGCATAAAGCTGTTTAATCTTCTCGTTTCACCCCCATTTCGATACCAAGAGTGGTTTTTCTTAGAAATTTCATCCTTCAAGGGTTGGTCACAGTCAGCTTTCACCCCCAAAAGCTCTTTCAGTATGTAAAATTCAGTGACAATTTCTACGGTGGGGTGTTTTTNTGGGGTGTCTTGTTCAACAGATTCACTCTGCTTGTTTTTTTGAGTATTCACTCCTTTCTCCACTCTAATAACCTATATATATACACATTATATACACACAAGTGGTATTGGCAAGGATCTCTATAAGAAGAGGTCATAAAAATGGAAAAAAACAAAACAAGACAAAACCAATGCAAATGCACTGCCCCTTTTTGTCTCCAGAACAAGAATGGTGGTCACTTCACTGCTGCCTCCTTCTCCGCTCACTTGAAGAGTGTGCTATATGGCCTTACGGGAAAGCTGGCCTCTATAAACATCCTTCGATCTTCGTTCATCACATGGGCATACGACAAATCGTGAGTGGACGCATAGTTATTCTTAGTAATTCAGAGTGCACATTTAATCTTAAAAATAGTGAAGTTGAGTCAAGAGGTCAATCTTTCTTTGACTCGCATGAAACATTCTTAGCTTAAAATCAAAGGATTCAAATAATTTATTATTTCTATTTTCTCTTGGGACCATTCTCAGTCCCAGGTGAAACTGGAAACAGTTCTTATGCA